CGACCCCCTTCCTGCTCCAGGGGTTCTGAGTGTAGAGGTGATGAGTAACAGTCCAACCCTCGAGTTGTCCCTGAGACAACACTTCCTGAAAGGCGGATGGCGGCTTGCGGTTACGCCCTGCTGAGCACCACACCCTGGAATGAGCAGCTGTCTCCCCAGGCCTCTTATCACACACCCTGGGGTTCCCCTTAAGTAACTGCAGCCCCAGTGCTTTTTCAGCCATGTGGCCAGGTGGCCCTCGTCCCCTCCTGGGAGCTCAGAACACCCCAGACTTGCGAGCTCGCCCACTGAGCTGTGCACCAGAGGGAGCTGTTGAAACATGCCAGGAACCACCGAACCTCGGGTGGGGCGGGTGGGGTGTCTCGTTCCCTGCCGTCAGCCCAGGGCTCCAGGGCCCAGAAGAGAACCTTGGATGAAGGAACGTTGTACCAACCACAGCCCCGAACGGGTCGCGTGGGGCCTTTGCCAGCCCGGCATTACTGAGACAATGGGTGCCCTTTAAAGAATAGCTGCCCACGTGCTAATGATGATAGTCGGTGCGCATTTCTTTCTCCCTCCTCCCTTTCTTTGAGGAATAACTTTACGCGTGTAAGATGTACAGTTCAGTGATTTTTGGTATATTCACAGAGTTCTGAAACTATCACCACAAATGAAGCTTAGTACATTCTCACCCAAAAGAAACTGTTTTCTCTTTAGCTATCTTCCCATCCCTTTATTCCCCCTAGCCTTTGACATCCGCTAAACAACTTTTCTGTTTCAATAATTTTGCCTAAACAGGAAATTTTCTATAAATGAAATCATGCATTATGTGATCCTTTGATGTCTGGGTTTCTTCACTTAGCAAAATATTTTCAAGATTCATCCAGGTTCTAGCATATATCAGGACTTCATTCTTTTTATGGCTGGATAATGTTCCATTATAAGAATAGGCAATATTTGTTTATCTAGTCATTAGTTGATGGACCTTGGGGTTGTTTCCACTTTTTAGCTATTGTGCATAATGCAGTGGTGAACATTTGTGTACAAGTTTTGTGAGGACATATGTTTTGATTTCTCTGGGGTGTGTTATCTAGGAGTGGATCAAATGGTAATTCTCTGTTTAACCTTTTGAGGAACGGAAACTGTTTTCCAAAGTGGCTGCACTATTTTACATTCCCACCAGCAGCGCAGAAGGGTTCCAGTTTCTCCAGGTCCTCGCTGATAACTTTCTGTTTGCCTTTTGATTCTAGCCATCCTAGTGGGTGTGCAGTGTTATCTTATTGTGGTTTTGAATTGCTTCCGGTGGGGTGGTGGGGTGGTGGTGGCACTAATGGTGTTGGGCACCTTTTCATGTGCTTTTTGGCCATTTGTAGGTCATCTTTAAAGTCTTGTGTCAGATATATGATTTGCAAATATTTTCTCCTATTCCGTGGGGTGGTTTTTGTTTTTCACTTTTTTTTTTACATATTTTAAAAATTTATTTATTTTATTTATTCATTGTTTTTTGGCTGCATCGGGTCTTCGTTGCTGCGCGCAGGCTTTCTCTAGTTGCAGTGAGCGGAGACCACCCTTCGTTGCGGTGCGTGGGCTTCTCATTGCAGTGGCTTCTCTTGTTGCGGAGCATGGGCTTCAGTAGTTGTGGCTCGCGGGCTCAGTAGTCGTGGTTCTCAGGCTTTAGAGCTCAGGCTTAGTAGTTATGGTGCACGGGCTTGGTTGCTCCATGGCATGTGGGATCTTCCCGAACCAGGGCTTGAACCTGTGTCCCCTGCATCGGCAGGTGGATTCTTAATCACTGCGCCACCAGGGAAGCCCCTGTTTTTCCCTTTCTTGATACTGTCCTTTGAAGCACAGAGTTTTAAAATTTTGACGAAGTCAAATTTATTTGTTTTTCTCTTTTCGCCTGTGCCTTGGTAGCATGCCTGAGAACCCATTGCCAGTTGATGGTCACAAAGATTTACCCCTGTGTTTCCTTTCAAGAGTTTTAGAGTCTCAGCTCTTACATGTAGGTCCGTGATCCTTTTTTTAAAAAAAATGTTATGTATTTATTTTTGGCTGCGTTGGGTCTTCATTGCTGCTCACGGGCTTTCTCTAGTTGCGGTGAGCGGGGGCTACTCTTCATCACGGTGCGCGGGCTTCTCGTTGCGGTGGCTTCTCTGTTGCGGAACATGGGCTCTAGGCACGCGGGCTTCGGTAGTTGTGGCACACAGGCTCGGTAGTTGTGGCTCCTGGGCTCTAGAGCGCAGGCTCAGTAATTGTGGTGCGCGGGCTTGGTTGCTCCGTGGCATGTGGGATCTTCCCAGGCCAGGGCTCAAACCCATGTCCCCTGCACTGGCAGGAGGATCTTAACCACTGCGCCACCAGGGAAGTCCACCGTTGATCGTTTTTGAGTTAGTTTTTGCGTATGGCGTGAGGTCAGGGTCCAGCTTCATTCTTTTGCATGTGGCTCTCTGGTTGTCCCAGCACCATTGTTGAAAAGACTATTCTTTCTCGTTTGAGCACATGCCATTTTTTTAATATATCATACTCAATAAAATTTACATTAATAAGAGAGATATTTACCCAAATCAGACACTCCTCTGTCTTAGTGGTGGACATGTAATTCGCACCACTTCTCTGGCGGCCACCCTGATGCCATATGTACCCAAACCCTGTAGAATGTGCTTGGCTCTTGCCCTTCTGGGCTGACCTGCATGTCTAGGGCACAGGACCAGAGACCCCAGTATTAGATTCCTGGGGCTGCTATAACAATTACCACAAACTTGGTGGCTTAACACAATAGGAATTTATTCTCTCACAGTTCTGGAGGCTAGGAGTCTGAAATCTATGTGTCAGCAGGACCATGTTCCCTCTGAAGGCTGCTTCCTTGCCTCTTCCAGCTTTCGGTGGCCCCAGAATTCCTTGGCTTGTGGCCACATCACTCCAGTCTCTGCCTCCACCTGCACATGGATGTCCGCAGTATCTCTCTTACGGCCTTTTCTGACTCCTTGGATTTGGGCCCACGCTAATGCAGTATGATCTCATCTCTCTTCTTAACCTATTACATCTGCAAAAACCCTATTACCCCGTAAGATGACATCCTGAGGTTCCAGGTAGATATGAATTAGAGGGGACACCATTCGACCCACTGCGTGCCCTCCCCCGTGCCAACCTCCTTTCAGTCCCTTCTGTCTGCTCTGTGCCCTCCATGCTGTTCCTTTGGCCTGGGTGCCTCCTTCCACCACGCTGACCCTTCAGATCTGCTTAAGTGCCCACCTCTGGGAAGCTCTCCCCAACCCTGACCAGGACACATCTGCTCCACCATCCTCAGAGCACCTCTTACCCTCCTTCTTGGCACTCGGCACACTTGTCACCATGTTTGTGGGCTGTGTATTACTGTCTCCCCTCCATGAGGGGGCTGTGTTCAGTGCCTGGCCCTGTACCTGCACTCAGATGCAGCTGGTAACTGAGATGAATAACCAGTGCATCCGTTTGGGTCCAGGCCCCACTCCCGTTTCTGATTCCAAGCCCCCCTAGAAACCTGGCTCCCCATCACTTTGTGTTCAGGGCTAAAACATGCAAGTTAGTTACTGTCATTGAGAATTAATACATCGGAACAATTTTGAAGTTAACATTCACGTTCGTGTTCTTCAACCCAGCGGTTTTACTTTCAGGAATCTATCTAAAAGAAAGACAAATGTCAGTTATGACGGTACTTAGAATAGCCCACCCACCCATCCTCGCAAAACTGGGAAGAACCTAAATGCCCAACTACAGAGGAAGTTAAGTTAAGGCCCATTTTACAAGGAAATACTATTAAATAGGCATTAAAAATTATGTTGCAGAAAAACGAGAGGAAGTATATCCAGGACATAATAAGCAAAAAGATGAGTCGTGATGTGGTATGTGGCTCGATCCCGGTGCTGCCTCGATTTTGCACATGTGCGTGGGAAGGTGGGACATCCTACAGGTGGAGGGTGGGGACGGCTGCACAGCAGGAGCGTTCCCAGTGCCACTGAACGGCGTACTTGACAGTGTTTGAAGCGGCTGACTTTATGTTATGCGTATCTTACCACAGTTTTTCAAAAACACGGAACATGCTCTAGAGCAGAAGTGTTGACGGGGTCACCTCTGGGTGGAGGGTTTACAGGAGCCCACTCTTCAGGCTTCGCACAGTGAGGCTGTGACATTTAAATTTGTAACATACGCCGTTTATCTGCGAAGAACGGGCTTGGGTGGGCTGGCATCCGGGAGACAGAGCTGGCCCTCACGGCCCCCGTGCCCTCGGAGCCCATCCGGAGCCCCAGCCTGTGTCCTGCCCCAGCCAGGCCCCCGGGTTTGCGCCGCGGCCTCTGCTTGTCGACCTCGGTGCTGGCTGTCCTATTTTTACCACTATTGACCCTGAAGGCCATCGAGGAGGGCACGCTGGAGGAGATCGAAGAGGAGGTCCGGCAGAAGAAATCGTCGCGGAAGCGCAAGAGGGACAGCGATGCCGGCCCCTCCACCCCGACCACCAGCACCCGCAGCCGCGACAAGGACGACGAGAGCAAGAAGCAGAAGAAGCGTGGCCGGCCGCCTGCCGAGAAGCTCTCCCCCAACCCGCCCAACCTCACCAAGAAGATGAAGAAGATCGTGGACGCTGTGATCAAGTACAAGGACAGGTAAGCGGGGGGCGGGGCGGGGGCCTCTGGGAGGGGCCGGCGGGCCCGCTGCCCGGGCAGTCACTCCACAAGCTCAGGTCGAGCCTCTGTCTCGGAGCCTCTGTCCTCGTGGGACGTGACGTTAACGTCCTGGAAGAGGGGAGACAGGCAGCGTCAGCCGTGGTGAGAGGGCAGGGGAGGCGACGTTCAAGAGGAGCCCTGAGGAGGGCAGGTCTGGGGACAAGGGGTCCAGGAGGTGGCCGGCGGGTTCGAGGCCAGTGGCAGGGTGAGTGTGGGAGAAGGGGGTCCGTGCTGTGATGGAGGCCGATCATGTGGCTGGTGGACCGTGGTGAGGAGGCGCCTGTGGCTGGAGCAGAGAGCCAGTGGTTTTCCTTCTGTAGACAGTCCCCCGCCCCGCCCTGGCTATGGTCTCCCTGGGCCATCACAGGTCAGCTGCTTGTGGGGAAGACATAGACCAGGCTCCCCGCTAGGCACTGGGGCCCCTGCCCTCACAGACACGCCAACCACAGGACAATGCATGCTTTCTGCTTTGTAGATCCATTTGTGGATCGTGAGTGCTACGTAAGTAAGAAGAAGAAAATGATGGCTCTCCCGCGGCCCTCCTAGGAGACTTGTGCCCATCCTGCCAGCGCAGGGTGGGTCGTGTGGAGCTGCACAGGGCAGCCAGGGGCATCCTTCTGCCCCCCAGTGTCTTGTTCCACTTTCTGCTATATGCAGGTCGATGAGGCTGTCCCCGTAATGGGAGGGTTGTACAACTTGAATTCACAGTAATGCTCTGCAGTCAGTCACAAAGAAAGTAGGGGAGAATTTTAATCTGTCTGAGGGAACAGTGTCAAGGCATGAGCCCATGGTGTATCATTTGGAGAAACTGTTACCAAGCCTCTGATTTCGGGGGATGGTGATGGTTATAGTACCCAAAAAAAGGATACAAATTGCTCTTTAAAAAGAATCCTTTATTATTGGGAGGGAAACAAATGATGAAGTGGAAAAGAGGCATATTTAAGTTCAACTGCTAGGCCTAAAAATACTACATTTTGTGTCAGTGTTTTCTGGGGTTTTTTTAAGTGTATATTGGGGTTTTTTTAATTAATTAATTAATTTTATTTTTGGCTGCACTGGGTCTTCATTGATGCACACGGGCTTCAGTAGTTGTGGCTCGCGGGCTCTAGAGCACAGGCTTAGCAGTTGTGGCGCATGGGCTTAGTTGCTCCACGGCATGTGGGATCTTCCCCGACCAGCGCTCAAACCCGTGTCCGCTGCATTGGCAGGCGGATTCTTAACGATTGCGCCACCAGGGAAGTTCCTTGTGTCAGTATTGAGAACAAAACATTGAACTCATTTGCAAACTTCACCTTTGAGGCCAATTCCACAAAGAAAAAAGTAGACCAACAATTATTTATAATCTGGAATGTGCAAAAATCCAATGAAAATAATAGACCCTGATGTTTTCTTCCTAATAGTATTCTTGCAAGGGAACCTTAACATTGTCAAAATGAAGAAGACCCTTGAAGGTCAGTGGGGAAGGATGGACTTTTCAAAAAGTCATGCTGATCCCTGGGATGTCCATCCACACGGAGAAGATGAATATTGACCCCTCCTCGCGCCATACACATGTATTAATTTGAAATGGATTACAGACATAAACGTGATGTAAATCGACTATATTTCAATAAATCTTTTTTAAAAAACCCATAAATGTGAAAGGTACAACATGGGAAAAGATTTTCATGTCCTTAAAGGAGGCATAGACTTCTTCAGTAGGACAGGAACGCCACTAGCCATAAAAGACTCACAGGTTAGACGTCACTCAAATTAAGAACATTTGTTCATCGAAGGACACCCTCATGAAGATGGTGAAAATTGCCACAGACTAGGAAAAGAAAATTCAATTTTAAAATGGGCAAAAGGCATGAACAGACACCTCCCAGAAGAAGATACCCCAGTGACCAATCACCGTGTGAAAAGGTGCTCGGGATCACCACATCGACGTCATAACAGGAAGGAAATGCACAATAAAATGAGCGTGAGGTGCCTCGCCACACACACCAGAAGGGTTAAAATTCCTTTTAGTACCACCAAGGGCGTGGAGCAGTAGCACCTCACACCCTGCTCATGGGAGCATGTGGCTCTGGGCAGCATCTTCTGAAGCTCGACACACAGATAAAGCTTCTGACCCAGCCACTCCAGTCCTAGTCCTGAGTACAGACATCCACCAGAAGACATGTACAGGTGCATCCATAGCAGCTTTGATCACGACTCCCCTAAAGGAAACAGCCCAGTGTCCACCCACAGGAGAACACGTCCACAGCGGCCTAATCGAAGAACAGAATTCTAACAGCCACGAGAACAGACAAACTACCACTCCCTGGGAGAATCTTACACCCTGTTGAGTGAGAGAAGCCAGACACAGAAAAGTACCCTATTGTATGCTTCCAGTTATAGGAAGTTTAGCTGACCAACAGTGATGAGCATGGATCAGGGGTTACCTCAAGTCGGAATTGACGGGGACGGGACACCAGGGAGCCTTCTGGGACGTTGGGATCTTGGTCTGCACATGAAAACCTTCACCAGGCTGTACACCTAAGATAAAGATGTGCAGACTTTCCTGTAGTAGGTTACACCTCGGTTTAAAAATAGTAGACACTTGAAGTCGGCACCCTGCACTCGATAAGGCCTTGGATATTTTCACACTAAAAAAAAATATGTCAAGTGTCAGTCCACTTTCTTAGTCATCCTATGACTTAGAGAAAAGGCACTGTGCTTAGCTGAAGGTCACATGACAGAAGAGAAGCTGGCTCCCCTGGCTGCTGCAAACAGCTGTTCTCTCAAGCCCATGCAAGATTGGGTGATAAATCGGGCAATGAATTAAAACTAGCTTTTAGGGTTCAGGGACATCTTGTCAAGACTGGCCTATGGCAGGACACCAAGATCCTAGTAGGGATTCTGAGATCCAGCCTGATGAGAGCCCTGACACTGCAGTCGCAGAGCTGAGCTCCCAGGTCTGTCAGACCCACGTGGTGATGCCTCCGTGGAGGGCTTGAAGCATGGCTTATTATGCTTAACCTCACGTCCTCCTGGAACGATGGCCCCACTGGACGGGGAGTTCGCCGTTAGACTGGGGAGAACTGCAAAGGAGTTACAAGTGGGATGGAGAATATAACCATTCCAGGAAGCCTCCCACGCACTGGCTTTGAGAAACGTTTGGTTCTCAGTTGGAGCAGGGCCTTCCACTCGCTGGTTTGCTGGTGGCCACACAGGAAGAGCTCAAACAAGGCACGTAAACTCAGGAAAATAGTCACATCATCCTGGTTGAAACATTACTTCATGGAAAATGCTTTCAGAGATGATGTTTGGGTACAAACTTGACCTACTTAGTGGACATTTTTGACGTTCTTATCAAAACGTAAGAATTTGAAACCATGGGGAAAACTACAATAGGGTTCATGCAGCTGTAGGGTTAGGCACAGTCTATAGACCACCCTGTCTTCTGACAACAACCGCAGAGTTCAGGGTCCCCAAGACCACCCTTAGGCTCGATAATTTCCCTAGAAGGACTCTCAGCACTCTCTGAAAGCTGGTGTACTCGCAGTTATGGTTTATTACAGCGAAAGGACACAGATTAAAGCTAGCCGAGGGGAGAGGCACAGGGAGCAGCGTCCTCCCCGTGGAATCGCCGGCCACAGTGACTTTCCTGGCAACATTACGAGAAGATGCGCACAGAGCATTGCCAGTCTGGGAAGCCTTGGTGTCTAGGGTTTTTACTGGAACTTGGTCAGTATACCCGGCCGACCTCCCACGTGGCTGCCCAGTCTCCGGTCCCTCTGTGGTTGAACCGATGCTGCTTGACCCGACGCCCCTGCCTGGAATCACACCTAGACTGTGCCAAAGGCCCCCAGCTAAACAAAGGCACCCCACCAGGCAGGACATTCAAGGACAGAGACATGGCCTCCCAGGAGCCAAGGGCAAAGGCCAGACCTTTCTTTGGGCCAGGTTAAATTCTTTATGACACAGCTGTCACGTACCTGGAAGGTTCTGAGGGACTGGCCACCACGCCACACCAAGGAGAACAGGAGTGGAACAAAACCAGAGGTAGCTTGACGAGCACTTTCTTGTCTCAGACTTCCGATCGCTCCTTTCCAGAAGAGAAAATGAAACTTTGGATTTAAAAATCCCATTTGCTGGCTAGAACCCTGTGATTAGCTAAACTCTATACTTGAGTTAAATGTGGATCCTGAGGAGAGAACTTATTGTTACAGCTTGGGTCTTCCTGGACGCCAAAGAATGATTACAGGACATCGCCAGCGTTTGGATTCAGAGTGGGGAGCCTGCCTTGCTGAGCAGGGCCCGTGGCGCTGCTCTTCCTGCCCCCCAGTGACCGTGGTGGGAGTGGGGTTGCACCTCGAAGCAGTGACTCCAGAGAGAAGCGGCTCGCTCGGCCATGCCTCTGCTGCTGAGTCTGAGCAGGGCCGCCCCGCCCCCAGTTTGCACCACTCCAAATGTTGCTACTGAGTGTTGATTTCAAGATCCCTACCCCCCACCCCCGGCCCCAGTTGTGTTAAGATACCAGTGCCGTCGTATTTGATAGAACCTTTGCATGTACATCCTGATCTGCACGCAGGTAATGTCCTGATTTGGAAGCTTTTGCGTCTTTCACGTGTGTTCAGGTTCAGGGCTGCCAGGCCCACCCCTCCCGAGGCCCCAGTGCACCCTGTGAGCGGCCCTCCCTCGAGCTGTGAGGTCTCCAGCCTTCGCAGCTGCGACCCTCTGCTGGGTGGCGGTGAAAATACATGTCCTTCCGTGGGGTCACAGTGGGGAAACGCTGGAAGAGTCTGCAGTTTTACGCAACTTGAGGGCTGGCACAGGCAACCTTGGGGTCCAGCATGGCCTCCGGGAGGAGTGCCACATAAGCAGAGCCTGAGGAAAAGCAGGGGCCCGCCAGGGAAGAGGAGGGAAGGAGCATCACAGGCCAGGGGACTGCGCATGCAGGGCCCGGAGGCCAA